GGAAAATGGTATCAGTCCTTATTTCAAGATCTGTTTTAAAAGATACTTCCTTCACGAAAAAAAAATTCCGTCTTCAAAATTGTAGTTATACAAATACGCCGTAAACACCATGAAGTTTGCAATTTTTGAAAACTTAGTGATTTCAAGGAAAATGAGACCTACGCCATTCTTTTAAGCGTTATTTAGGCTTTCTGAAGGAAAATTTTATTCCAAAAAAATTAAGATATTAAAAAAAACATATTGTTGAGGCTTCACGTAAATCAAAATATATACTTGTGTTTTAAAATTGCAGGGCTTCGGGCAGATCAATCGGGAAACATTAAATTATGGAGAAAATCGTCTGAATGTGTTCACAGAGACGACCAGGAGTTTTGATGTCAACCGATTTATCAGCATCAAGAGCCCACAAAACATGGTTTCTGACTACGTAATATATTAGTAGAAGTAATTTACTACATATAGGAACAAGATTTATCAAGTTATTCGTTACCAGATACAAGCAATAATTTGTTTGCCGAAAATCACAGATTTCTAACACTCAATTACAATACTTTCTCTTTACTACGTACGTAGTAAGAGGGGATTTATCCATTTTCTCGTTAGTAGGGCTTGTCAATAGGCGCAGGGTTACAATACTTTCACTTCTTCCGAGGTAAGTGCGTGAAAATAAAATCCGATGGACTTCACACAAAGCTGAAATTTCTCTGCTCTCTTATTTCGAAGTAAGAAAAGAAATTAAACTAGTGGCGCTACAAGAGAATATACTTCCTCACATTAACTTTGGCAATTTACGAAAAGTTAGAGAGTTTGACGCAAAGAAGGATAAGTAGTATAAAAATAGTATATAAATATTTGTAGTATGATTGACAAATACTACAAACATCTACCAAAGGTTGAAAGGGCGTCTTTTTCAATCTCAGGGTCGTATTTCTTGAACACATCCAGAGATTCTCAAAACATTAGGTTACTTGCAGAAGCTTTTGCAGCTTCTGTGGTATCCAAGCAGAGAAAATGAAGTCGTCAAAGAAACATAAAATGTCATGTTTGAATTTTAACATTGTCATATTCTAGTTGTTTATAATATTTACCGAGTATCATATTGTAGACATCTACCTGCAATTCTGAAATGCTTCAAGGTGTGCCCCGGGTTGGAGTTTTCCCAAGAGAATTCAACGGGACACACTCGGCACATTCCCTGTAGCTACCTCAAAGAAGTATTTCTTTCTCATTATTGAGAAACATGTTGAAGTATGAAGACCACCTGCGTTTAAACTAATAAGTTTAGATATGCATTTTTTAAAATTGCTCCTTGCAGTTTTTAAGTGTGAACAATTTTCCTTGAAACACACAGTGTCATTAGGACTCATTGACACGCGGTAAACTGACATCCTTGCAACACCTTTACGTAACTAGTTCAAAAACAGGACGTCGACAAATGGATTAAAAAAACTGAATATTTTTCTTTTTCAAAATATTTTACCCGTATTATATTGTTTTTTTACCATGTTAGGCATAGCGTCATTTATAAATTATACTCATAATATCAGTGAAATGTTCATAAGAAAAATTTAAACAATAGTAATGTACGTAACAATTCCGTTCTCACCCATAAGACACAGTTTTCGGTTTGCAAGTTTTATAAAGTTTTTGAAGTGCAAATTTTCCTTCTTACTAAGAGAAGTGAACAATATATCTCTATTAGGAACAAAGAAATGAGAAAATCTCTGTGAGCCAAAGGTTTTTGAGAAAAAAATCAGAAAAACTAATATTCGTTATATGCTGTCAAATAAAACAAATTAGTTTATTTTATGATTTGATTCTTGTTCGTATCCTTCTTCGTCACTTTATCAGTTTTAAGCCGTTATTTTGAACATAATATAAGTCTTTAAAATAAGTCTAAATGAAGTGCAACTTTTCGCAATTTTATCCTTGTTTTGCTCAGGAGATAATTAAATAAGGGTACAGTTGATTGTTTTGTGTTTATGTGCTACGCGAAGATGTTCATCACAACATATATAAATCATTTTAAAACATAGATAACTATATAGAATTTCTGAAATAATATTAAAACTTGTACATTTTTGTAACAATTTTAGGGCTGTGCAGAAAAACTTTCCCATGAAACTAGAGAACTAAAACGTCCTCTAGTCTCTGCTAGGACCAATAGAAATGGGTAACATTCCTTGGAGCTATGTTTTAACACACACACACACACACCTCTAAGATTTGACGTGGTCAAAATAGATAGGTTTTTGGTATGTAATAATTAGTATATATATAGAATATATATATATATATTATATAATATATATTAAATACTATATATATATTTAAAGGGTCGAACTAGCGAAATATTGAAAACTCAAAAAGTGTATATTGTTTTGGAAAAGGCGCGAAGTATATTCTGTTAAAAATGCAGTATCTATTACAAACGCAGAGCGATAAGTAGTTCGCAAGAAAGAATTGGATTGATCAGCAGAAATATATTTGTTTAAAATATGCTTCAATCTTCATCATTGATTGTTTGATTACCAGTGACTCCGGGCACATCAGCTGCTAAGTTCATTAGTCTCGTAAGTGTAGTGCATGTTTTTGCTCGCGAGGTGCCCCGCTGGATGGCGAGATTCGGCGCCAACCTACCGTTAGCTGGAGGGTTTTTCCCAACCAGGTATTTTTTGCCAACAGGGGCACCACCGCGATCGGAACCCGCTCTAAGCTCCCGACCTGTCTCCCGGTATGTGTGGTAGTGTAGTACATGAGTAGAAAGTGTGAGTGAGGGGTAAGGATAGGACATGGAATGGGAAGGAAAAGTCGCGCGCGGTCAGCGGCCCATTTGGTAGGGTGAACCGGCATTCGCCTGGTATTGATCGGAAAAAACACGGAAAACTACCGATCGGAGCACCTGAATTCTCCTCCAGACAGCAACTGTACTCGTCCTCGCTATGTTACCTCTCCAGGTTTTAAACTTAACTAAAAAAGACTAACATAAGCAAAAAATAGTCAAATAAGTTATTTTAAACTTCCTTATGTAATTTTAAATGAGCGTAAATATTGAGCAAGAACTCACGAAAACTCAACACTGCTTGCTTTCTTTACCAAAATGTTTAATGTCACGATACATTAATAACAATGAATAGAGATTATAATTGATTAATTTGTTATTATTAAATTTGCATAATTTTTGGCTTCAGACCTGCTTGTAATAAATAAAATATCGTTTGCTTTCTGCTCCTCAAGAACGGAAGATAATGATTGAGTTCCTACACATTCATTATGCGGCAGAGATGATTGTAGGGAGAATGCCCAAAATTATCCATCATAATCAGCATGTGGGCCATGGCCGCCAGTTTGCCATACGTGCTAAAGATGTAGCAAAAAATGTAAATGAGTAGTTAATGAACATATAGTACCTAATATGTAGTCTCTTTCTGAAACATGGCTAACAACAGTTTTATGATTACGAAAATTACATGTGCATTCCAAGACGTAGAGCTATATCAGCAAAAAGGTATACTCAAACTTTTTTGGGCCAGGGATAGAACCAGGGATTACTCATCACAATCCGAAATGAGAAATGCTAGTTTTTCTTTGCGTTGTATGAATGTGAAAGGCAATGGCAAACCAACTGACATGTCAAAGTAACCTATCATCTATTTCATTACGCCATTGATTTGCACATTAGAAGTACGAATAAACAACCCGAAAGGGTGAAGAGAAACATTATACAGTGTTTTGAATATGTAAGTATCGTTTTTATAAACGGTACTTCACTAGCAGGCTCATTCTATTCTATGCGTTTTCCCATTCTTTATAATAGGCACCCCTCGAAATTTGCCAGACACCCTCCGAACTGTCATTGGTGTCCGAGGGACCTATAGGGGCGTCCGCAGTATCCCATCGCTCCCTGAGTAGATCTATTCAATAGAAAGACCATCTTACGTCTTCGCGCCGAGGAACCTATCGGACCCATCTCTGTACTGTATAAATAATTGTCCAAAGTAGCCCACCTCGATGCTCGTGCCTTTTAGAACAGTATTTTCAGAAATTGTCTTTTTATATTGATTAATTAGTGATTCCAGGTGCATCAATTGTTAAGGTAATTAGTTCCATAAGTGTAGTGCATGTTTTTCCTCGGGCGCTGGCGGTAATCCTCTCCCACGCGATGGAGAGATATGGCGCTGACTCACCGTCTGCTAACGGTGCTCCCCCAACCAGAGCACCACCCACCAGCGAGGCGCCGCCCCCGCCAGGACAAGATCTAAGTTACCGACTGGTCTCCCGGCATGAGTGGTAGTGTAGTGCATATGTATGAGAGTGTGTATGTGTGTTTGTAGGTAAGGGTGAGTATAGGACAAGGATGAGGAAGGAAACTTACGGGCCCGTTTGTTAGGTACTCTCCCGACATCCGCCTGGTGTTCATCAGAGAAACCACGGAAAACTAGCGATCAGAGCAGCCGGCCTCTAGAATTCTCTGCCAGTTAGCGGCTGAATTCGACCTAGCTGTGTAGCCAGTGTCGAAATACTGCCACCCTCGGGAATTGAAACCTAGGACCTCCCAGTCAGTGTTTTTGTTAAAACACACAAACACTGAATAGGGTTTACGGAGCCAATTCCCCAGAACGGACAAGATCTTCAATAGCTCATTAGTTACAGATGGGGATTGGGATCACTTGCAATATTTTTGAAAGGATTAATGTGTGGAGGTGATTGACGAGGCAATGAGAATGTGCCCATGTCATGAAGACAACTGAGGCTTCCATACCTTACACAGGATTCGAACCTACCCTGGTACCCGCGTACGCGAGCCATCCTCCCAGCTCGAAGATTTTGTGCCGCTACCGGGTAGGCAAGTATTGTTCTTATTTATAATCTGGTTATTTGCATTTTACTGTATCATATAAGTAAGCAAATCGTTTGGCATGTACATAAATTAACAATAACATTGAATCTAACAAAATGCTTGAAGTGACATCGTCTTTAAAATAGTTTTTATTTGGAAGATGAGCTATTTTTGGTGGCTTAGCCTTTATCTACTAGATCCCTACAGAGATGATGATGATGATGATGGTGATGATGATGATGATGATGAAAGAAGAAATTCATTCACATTAAAATATTGGTAATTTTTTCCCTTTTCTTATTTCTAGTCGTTTATCTCTTTCCGTTTTCGCGACTCTCATCCTTTCCTCATAATCTGTGTTGCCAACACGAGAATAATTGAGCACTCGCTGGAGGGGAGAGCACTTGCCACGGTGCAGCATTTTACCAAGTTTTTTACCACTTTTACCCGCTGCCCCATAAAGCGTCGCCTGGTTTAACACAAGCTAGGCGGTTTTGTATTTCGTTTTGCCCAGGTAGCCCCTGCCACTATGACGGTACTACGACTACTTCTGAGGGTCATGTCAGTACGGAGGGGAAGCATACTCCGATTTAAAATGGAACTTCAGAGTCACGAGCTGAAGAGTGGGACAGTGTCATCCAATCGGGAGCTCTAGTACCAAAACTTTAAGTTGTAATGAAGCTCTTGATTGGATGATAGTGTCCGCTTCTCCGACCAATTCGTGACTTTGATGTGCAATTCTCTTTAAATGGGAGTGAAGATGGTATTACAAGGTGAAATACGGTGAATGGAAAAGCCCCATCAAGCCTCAAAACACAAGGAAACTTTATGGGATTCGAACCTGCGGCTATTCGAGACTATAAAGTTTCGGCGCAAAAGTAGACATACCAATTTCGGCCACCTGGTTAGGCCAAAGCAGTGGTAGTAATGTCACATCACTTATAAAGACGCTGAACGTGCACTTGAAGAGTGGAAGACGGGTGGAGGGGAGAGCACTTGCCAAGGTGCTGCATTTTACCAACCAGTTATTGTTTACTACATTTACCCGCTGTGCCGCCTGATTTAACACAAGTGAACCAGACTTGTATTTCGTTTTGCGGAGGTATCCATGGCACTACGACGGTACTAGTAATACTTTTGATGGTCATGGCAGAACGGAGAGGAAGCAAACTCCGATTTAAAGTGGCACTTCAAGGTCACGAACTGAAAGGAGAGGGGGACATTGTCATCCAATAGGGAGTACCAATTCGAAAAATTTAAATCGTAACGAAGCTCTCGTTTGGATGATAGTGTCCCCTCTCCGCCCAACTCTTGACCTTGAAGTGCCACTCTGATTAAATCGGAGTGTAAGTGGATTTTACAGGGTGATGCACGGTGAATGGAAAAGCCCCATCACGCATCAACACAAGCAAAATTATGCGAGTCAAGTGGGATTCAAACCCGCGGCTATTGGAGACAATAAAGTCACGGCGCTAAGGTAGGCATTTCAATTTCGGCTACCGGATTCGGCAGCAGCAGTGATAGGAATTCCACATCACTCATAAAGACGTCGGGCGTGCTCTTGAAAAAGTGGAAGACATGTCGCGTCGCTCGTGGGCCTCGGGGGTCTGCGGGACGGCGGGGCCGCAGGGGCGACCGGCCAGCGCGGGGCACGATAAGGCGCCTCGCGGCTGACCCGGGGGCGCCGTGGCTTCGCGCCAGGGGGCAGGGCGAGGGGCTCAGGGCGGCGGGGCCCGCGGGCGCCGTCGCGACAGACATCGTCAGACGCTCGCCGCGACCGGTGCCGCCGCCTCCTCAGCCGCCAGCGCCTCCGCAGTCACTCGACCGCCGTGCGTGTCCGCCTTCATCTGACGCCGCCGCCGCCGCCTTCTGCTTCGCCGAGATGAACGCCTCCTCGCAGCACTTCGAGAGCCCCTTGGACACGGTGAGTGGCGCGGCGGCGCGGGCGCGCCCGCTTTTTGTCAAGCGCTGCAGAGACGTCACGTCGCCAGCGAAGGGGGGCCTCGTAGTCCCCCTGCGATGCACGGTGCCCCCCGGCCCATGCAACTCCCTGGTGCGTTGCGTCAGGTCGCCCTTGCTGCCCAGCCCCTTGCCCCCGGCCCTCGCGCCTCCCATCCGCCACGCTCACCATGCCGACGCTCGCAGAATGCAAAGCCGTGTTTTGCTCCGTAAACTGAAATCCATGGCTGGTGTAATTCGCTGAACGCCTACTCAGAGGTCATTGGGGATTTCTTTTTCGTTGTACACTCATTTTCAGCTTCCCGAAAGAAGAGTGTTGAATCCGAAGGACATTGGGTAGTTGTGGCTGCTGCATTTCCAAACAAGTTCTGAAAACAACTCATTTTATTATTTCTTTTCAGTATTCTAACCAATTTGTTTATTGATACATTCTTTGTAAGTTTATTTTCTATATAATTTCCTTCTTAAATATTGATTGTGTCATTAAAACGTGAAATTCGTACGTTCTAAAACGTCCAAAAACACCGGCCAAACCTTCTGACATCAAAATGCTTGATTTCAAATCTCTCAAATACAATTTTTTTAGTTTGCATTTTAAACTTAATTTTCAAGTTTGGTACATCTGTTGCTACAAAATTTATTATTAATCTTAATGAAACGTAATAATGAAATAAAGAGAATATGAGATGCAACTGAACTTGATGCTATTGATAATTTCGTATCAACACTTGATACGTACCATTTATCACTTAAAGAAGCGATACCCAAAACCGTGTCAGAACAAACGTCTAAATTATGTTACGTAAGTTTACAATTTCATTCCACATTTCTACCTTTAATTGCGAAGTTAATTCGCTGAATTATTGCCCTGGATTCTGCATCTTAAAGTTAGCTCCGATTCAGACCTCTCACTTTGGAGAGTAGTTCTGAGAACGAGGATCGGCTTCTTTAAAACTGAGCCACGACTCCTCGTAATATGGTTGTCTCATCGAGAAGGTCTCGTGAAGATTGAACTGAGTGATACGATCACAGACGTCACTGGACAATCGCAAAACAAAACATAAGTTGGCCTTCCTCGCATCTACAAGATAAAATTTAAACGGTACAAAAAACGGTCAAAATAGTCATACAGTTTTTGAAATTAACTTGTAGTAAACAACGAGTTTGCCATTATCATGCAAAGATATGTGGCATTTATAATGTCATTTGAAGAATACTATACGATACGACTGATATGAGCTATTTTAAGGAACCACCAATGACAATAAGAACATTTCCGATAAAGAGGTTATCCATGAATTGATAAATCTCAACCTTCTCAACGAAATTCTTGAAACAGGTTATCAAACAGCCTCCAGACCTCATCAGCAATTAATGTTTTCTGGGGCGATTTTATGACGGTGAAATTGAAAATATTGAATGTAGGAAAGACATTTTCAGAACTATATCAAGAAAAATAACACTGCCTCTACATGTACTGATACATCTTTGTCTAATGTGAGTTTATCAAGTCTACTGGTATGCGGCCAACACTCACTAGAGACACAGGTAGTATATAACGACGTATTGGATTTTGGAATCTATTCACTGCAATGTATACTGGTTTTATTGTGAGCAGTATCGTTGAGGTTCATCAAAGCTGCTTACTGAAGTGGTATTTTGGGTCATGCATAGAAAGGTAATGATAGAAAATGAAATCTAAACTGCAATAAACTCTCCATCTTTTCTCTTTGGCTTTCCATCCTCGTCGAACTTCTCATATATACGGGACTTTTTCTTCGTATTTTGATAATGGATAGATAATTTTAATGCAAATTCTTTTTAACTTAAGAAAATCCTTTGATATTTAGTGATATTAATAATTTTTCCTCTTCATAAGGAGAGACAATGCATTCACCGCTAAAAGGAACACATCATTGAGCTGTAAAGCAAAAATCATTATATATTATTAGTTGCCTCACATCTCTATTATATAATATTGTTTGCAGTGACTGTCCCCTTCAGGCCATGTCCCCTTCAAAGCCAACACATTTCAGTAACATTTGCTCACAACACCGAACACATAAGTGAATAGCGTATAAAAGCGATCGAATACGATAACTGAGTAAATAATATTGGTAATTGGTATATATACCAATTAAAAATATTAGTTTTTTAAAAATATTTAAGATGAATCTTAACTGTTATACTTTCTATATCCACACCTGCCTCATTATATTATAGAATTTTTGGATGAAAATCGTGAGAGCAAATATATCAGAGGTTATGCAAAACATAATTTCTTTTCATACAACTAACTTTTCAAACAAACTCTTTTTATTAGCCTCTCTATGGGACAGTGCACTAGAAAAACACTACGAGTTTACGCAACAACAACTGTTTAGAATTTTTTATCTTGTTCCATTTAACTATCGTGACCTCTGAATGACAAGGTTGTATCTGACTTGTAGAAATTTAACGGGAGTGCGCTTTGAAATTTAGGGGTAAATTTAGCTCAATAGCCCTTGGAGATTCTTGTCGAACAGCAAACCCGAGTGACAAGTTTTATTGTAATATTAATGAATGCTTCAAATTGACAGACAGAAAAATACAAAATGATTTTAAAGGAGAAAACAGAGAAGGCCGAGTTGCAATACTTTTAATTCTTCAATTAAAATAGCATTGTTTAAAAAAACTGTTCTTGCCACTGAAGCAATATCAGTGTGAAGTTCGTTTATGAAGTTCCTCTCTGATCATAAGTGACTTTGGGAAGTTCAATAAATTAGACTCAGAGACATTTATGATCACTATGTTTTTAAAATAATACATATCTGGATTAATTTTAGGCAATAACAAATATTACAATAAATGTTAAATGGGTCAGAACGTGGTTTATATAAAAGCGAATGAAAAGGCACGATTTTCTGTTTTGAATTAGGATTCAGAAGTAATTACAATTAACATTTAAACTTATAGATTTATTTATCTCAATTTTGTTTCTTCAAACAAATTTCCTATCAGGATAGCAAAAAGAAAATTTCTATTATTAAAAGAGAATTCTCAGAAAAGTCAAATGTTTATTTTTAGTGTTAAGTTTTAAAAATATTTTATGCATGACATAGGGATAAAATATTAATTAATTAAAATATGATTTACATGTCAAAAACAAGTCTCAAAACTTTGGTAAATTATAGTGAATCTCGAAAATTCTCTCAATAGTCGTTTGAAGTATTAGTGTTGAATGTGTAGTTAAAGTTTAGCAATTGAAAATTACGAGATGTGGCGGATTTTTTAAAAGTAATTTATAGAATTACGTACTATATAATAAAAAGAATAACTTAGTAATTTTAATGAATTAAATGTGTTTATTATCTAATACTATCGAATAAAACAGTTTAATGGGTCAACATCAACGATTCACAATTAAACTAGATATGTGTTATTAATTTGAATTTTCAAAACATTTGATTCTTTAATATTGGCATATATTTGAATCTGATGCATGAGCAGAAAAAATTACTACAGACAGCAAAATTCTTTAATTTTTCTTGTTTTCTATCTTCTCTGAATATTTTACATCACTAAAAATACTATTGAAGGTCACAAATTTCCTGTTGCGCTTTAAAGAATTTATTGCTAGAAGATTTATTCTAGTATGTAGAAGTAACTAGTATATGCTAATCGAATTATTTACAGCAATGGCAGTTCATTGTCAGAAGGATGTTCCTCTGAAATTCTGCTTCAGGAAAGGACTTTACTCGGGCGAGACAAATTGAATTTCATGATGTACAGTAAATAACTAGAGTAAACCAGCTATTGTTTAAATTGTGATTTTTTTGTGTCATGGTTTTTGGGATGTAATTTTTTTTATTCTATAATTGAACCATAATCTAATTTAAATGACATGTTCAAAAATAAACCTATTTTCCATTAGTCACCTCACCAATGCAGTGGCATGAATGTATAAAATTTTAACAGCTTTTTTGAAGATATTTATACTTTCAAAACTACTTTACAAACTGGTTATTAATGAGGCGCGAGACAGCTTCCAGACTGCATGCCCATGCCCCCGTCTTCCGTCGCACTTGTCCAACGGTCGTTGACTGGGTGGTTACCTTGTCTTTGCCGCTTAAATACCCTGTTTGATTAAAACATATGCACGGGAACTCCAAATCTCGTAGTACAGGTTGAAAGAAATATTTTCTGAAACATTTGAACATAATGTGAATGTAATAAACAAAGCTATATGTTTGTGTAAAATAACATCTACTCGTTTTTTGACGCAGAAGAACTTTAATATGCTATAAGCTTATAAATTAATACCACGTGATTATACTATGTGACTTTGAAATAATGGATAGTAAATGTTGTGTAGTCTTTCCAATGGAACACAAGATATACAGCTGAATAACATAATTAATTTTCTAAGAGGAAATGTGGCTGGGATAATTTATTACACTCTTTGTGTATATGATATTTACGAGATAATTTTGAATCGAGATTAAACATAACAGGTACACCCTATGCACAACATTTGCAACTTACGTTTATCCAAAGTACATAGTTTTTGTTGTTTACCAATTTTTGTACCTAAGAACCAATATTTAGACAAATTAAAATAGTTGGCGAGTAAGATGTTTAAATACTTAAAACTTATGGCAACCTCATGCCAACACAACGAAAGCGGTATGTGATGTTTCGGGGGAGAAAGATACATGGTTTTTAAAAGACGATAACTGAAAATACTCATTTCAAAATCGGAAAGATTAATTTTTTCACTCCTTTTGTTTATTTAGGACACAAACTTTTGAATGTGTGTCGTATTATTTCGGACCCTGCCCTCGCCAAGGTCAGTTAGATTTAATTGATATGATAGCTCTCCAGAAATGGTTACTGTAATTAATACACCAAACTAAGTATCAGCTTGACTCCAAACACGTTCTGCTCCCAGCGGACAAAGAGATCACAAAAAAAACAAAACATGCAGAACCAGAGCGCCCGCAGCCGCCGTCGCCCCCGGCGACAGACCACACCTGCACTCACTTTCACGCACGGTCAAGGCTGTGCTGCGTGCCGTTCCTGGAAATCCGCAGCATTGCATCAGCCAAGGCCAGCCGCATGCAGGAAACCCGTTCCCACCAGACACCATGTCTCTGCGAACAGACTTACGGCGCGCCTTCGACATCGAATGCCTTTCCGCTTCTTCCTTTCTGTCGACTTTCCCGCCTTTCCTTTATCCTCGTTTTCGACCTTTGCTCTTCTTAC